AGTTTGGAACTTAGTTTATGGGGTGAAATAAGGGCCAGTTTGTTTTCTTTCAGTTGGATAGCCAATTATGTATCCTTTTTTTGGTGAATCAAAACACCACTTTATCATATGTTGGGTTTCCATTTATGCTTAGATCAATCATTAAATTTTGTGTTCTTGTCCTCATATCTACATGTCCATTCCATTTTTTTTTAGAGAGAGAGCAAGCGGGGAGGGGCAGAGGGAGAGGGAGAGAGAGAATCTCAAGCAGGTTCCATGTTCAGCCCAGAGCCAGATGCAGGGCTCGATCCCATGACCCCGAGATCATGAACCGAGCTGTAATCAAAAGTCAGATGCTAAACCAATTGAGCTACTCAGGTGCCCCCCACTCCTTTTTTATATAAATACTATTTGGTCCTAGTGGTCTATAGTAAATTTTAATATCTGTTGAAGAACTTTCCTTCCCATTATTCTTCGATTTCATAATTTTAAATATTCTTGTACAATTTATTATTCCAAAAATGTCTTCAAAATCATTTTATCCTATTTAAAGAAAATGATTCTATTTGGAAATGCACTTAGTTTAAATACAGGTGGTTCTCATTATTGATGGCCATTATACTCTACATAGTCATTGTTAACAACAAATTAGGGAAAACTGACCCATTGCTCCAACGGGAAATACAGGGTTAGGTCCTTGCTAGTCTCTGGTCAGATCGTTTTTGTCATCCAATCAATATATAACTTTGTTTTATGTGTGTCTTGTATATGGACACCTTATTTAATACATATTGTCAATTCATTCACATGGAACTTATGGTCAACAGCACTATAACTTATGCCTGAACAAAGGTTATTTAACATACGTATTTTCTTGTTAAGGCACATCATAGCCTTCCTGTGCTTAGGAACAGCAGACAACATTTCAGCACGATGTTTGGGGGCGATTTGCAATAGTAAAATCACCATTGAAAAGCACAAAAATGTGAAAGGACGTGTTTATGGTATGAGAGTTGAAACAAGAAGGCAGAGTGACTCTTGACCTCAGCTGTGCATCAGGCAGTTCAAATTTTTTGCCACTCTGTGCCTGTCTGCAGATGACCAGGAAAACATCACAAGTATTGATTTTAGGGTTATAAATAAATAAATAAATTTTACTTATTATAAATAAATAAATTTATTAATAAATTACCATGAGTAAGTGCATTCATAAATATGGAATCTGTGAATAATGAGGATCAACTGTGTTAATTTTTGGAACATGGAAAATTCTTATGCTAGAGTCTTTTCTTTCAGGAATTTGGTATGTTTCTCCTTTCGTTCAGGTCTTATTTTCTGTATTCTGAAATATAGTTTCTTTAATGTGGCTTTTGTATCCTTTTTGCTAAGCTTTTTTCCCCAAGTTTCTCTTTAAAATAATTTTTACAGCTACTGTAAAGGGATTTTAATAAAATTTCACTTCACTATGATAGCTATTGCTATCACTTGACTGAGTGATACCACACACTTGACTGAGGACTGATAGCTATTGCTATCATAGTGAAGACCTACTAATTTGTGAGTATGTATTTTATTTCCCACCACTCAAAGCCTATTAATTCTAGTAGTTTTTGCTAGAGCTACTTGAGCTTTCTTGGGTATTTACAATCATGTTAGCTGCAAATGAAAGTAATTTTGTCTGTTTCACTGTTTTAATTTTCTTTGTTATATTTGCAAGAACTTCCCAGAGTATTTAATAACAGTGGTGATAACTGGCACCTGACTTTCATGTTTTTTGTAAGTGAAAATGTTCTCAGTGTAAACCATTATATGTAAAGTGAGTGAATCCACATTAAAAGGAGGAGGCTTATTACCTTGCAGAATATTTGCTGAATCAGTGAATGAATTTAGTATCATCACTTGGCAAAATCGTGAATCCCTTAGAAGATGGTCAGTACTAATGTGTCAACTTAGTAGATATTAGGGATGTGTTTTTACCTCTTCCACATTGTTAAATAATAATGTTCCACATTCCTTTCTCCTAGATCGGACACTAATCAGAATTTCTGAACTCATTCATATCTAGGTGAAATTGAAAATTATTACATAAGAATTTTACTTTGGGGAACACTGTTGTACTCAGGTGGACAGAGTAGAACACATTGACATTTAAAAAACCTTTAGCTTTGCATAGCACTTGCAATTTCCTTTCCTCCTCTTATCTTTACTGATACTACTCTGGGAGAAGGAAGGACAGGTTCTCTCTATTTTCATGTGAAGAAACTGAGTCACAGAAACATGAAGTGACTTCCCCAAGGCCACACACTTGACTGAGGACTGAAATTCTCAATCGAATTTCACTACCTTCTCCCAACACTGTGTAATCCCTCCTTTGACACTTTCCCATGCTCCATTCTAAAAGAGTTCATGACCTACCTTGTTACCTCCATCAATCCCTTCATCACACATCCATCATTGTATTATTCAGTCCATTAGCCAATCATTCAATAAACATTTATTGAGCATTTATCAAATTTAGACATTTTTATAGATTCTGGAAATACAGCTGGAAACAATAAAAGGTTCTCCACCCTCACCCCTGAGCTTACATCATAGTAAACAAACAAAAAATAAAAGTAAAATATATAGGGTGTCAGGTGCTGATGAAATGCTCTGAAGAAAAATAAAGCAAGAGAGGAGGATTGGGAGTGCCAGAGTGGGGACAGGGGCTGAAATGTTGAGTAAGTAGTCAGGCATGGCCGCGTGGATGAGATGGCATTTGAGCAAAGACCTCTGTGGGTCTTTATTATTATTATTATTATTTTTTTTTTGAGAGAGAGAGAGAGAGAGCACGTGCATGCGAAGGGGGGAGGGGCAAAGGGAGAGGGAGAGAGAGAGAGAATCTTGAGCAGTCTCTATGCCCAGTGTGGAGCCTGATGCAGGGCTCCATCCCATGACCCTGAGATTGTGACCTGAGCCAAAACCAAGAGTCGGAAGCTTACCCTACCGAGCCACCCAGGTCCTCCCCCTTTATAGGTCTTTAGGAGTGAGGCTCAAGCCATGCAGTTAGGTGGGCTAGGGTTACTTCCTCAAAGTAAAGGTTTAAGTCTTAAGAGGGGAGGATCTGGCTTAGTCTTGAAGGAATGAGGGGCTGGATCACAGATGATGTGGGGCTGGGGAGATGAAACTGGAGAGGTTTCAGGGGGGCCCAAAATATGCAGAACTTTTCTAAGTCATTATGACTTCTAGTTTTTAGCTTAAAAACAATGGGGAGATAATGGAGGGATTTAAGGCATGGGAGTTTGGGGGAGGTGGGCACATGAGGGATGCCATCATATTTGTACTTTTAAAACATCAGTCTGGCTTCAGTGGCCAAAAGAAATCAAATTAAGAGTATGGATCTTTGCATTTTAAGTATGAGAATGTAGGAATTTAGACAAGATCTCAAGTATTCAATAAATCCAGATGACTAGTTGACACATTGTATTGTTCCTTTGCTAGGGAAAGGTGAGATCTGTCTGGAAGAAGACAGATGAATTGGTACCTGATATTTTTGTTCTTATTTTTAAATTCCTTGTACTATATTAAAGATATACATCAAGATGATACTCATATTCTGTAACTTTAAAGACATATTGATAACAACCTGCTAGGTAAATGTGACGTAGGCATAATAAATGGCACCTGATCATAATGTCAACATACACTTTTTCTTTTAAAGAGCTATAAAAACATATCTAGGTTGGGAAGTGACAAAATGACCCTAAAAATAAGGTCTGGGATTGAGATAGAAATATGCTGGTGGGTGTCTGAGGAAAGATTAGAAATTACAAAAGAAATTAGTATGTATGTGAATACCATTCTGATTTAAATTGATCTCTTCTACTCTCAGTAGATAAAATGGGAGTGAATTAATAATTCCGGAGCTTTTTCCTCCCCAAAATTTGATGATCATAAGCCCACAGAAATAGTATCTCTTTGCTTTATTTTCTACAATTTTAAATTTTGAAGAAGTGGTTATTTCCAAAATTAACATCACAAAGACTTTTGTAGAGAAGATTTTATTTTTAAGTAATCTCTACACCTAATGTGGGGCTCGAACTCACAATGCACAAGATCAAGAGTTGCATGCTCCACTGACGGAGCCAGCCAAGTGCCCCCATCACAAAGACATCTTTAGGCTGGTGATCTTTAGGTAAGTGATGGGTGACCTCATATACCAGTGGTGCTGGGGTGTGTTTTGGGTTAACCCTCTGGAGCACAATTTGGTGTTCTGAATTTTGAGAGTTAACGAAGTTCACAACTTTTTATCCAATGATTTTATTGAAGTAAATTTATCTTAGTAAAATATTAAAACTATAGGAATATGCATGTATAGGGATGCTGACTACAGAATTTCAGGGGGCAAATTTTAAAAATAACCAAAATGTTCAATGATATAAAGGATTGCTTGTATATTATGATACTTCCTTATAAGGATGAGTGAGGTCATTAAAAATAATATTTTGGAAACTGATGGCATGGGAAACACCCTCCATTTAGAAAAGAAAAGAAGAATGAAATATTGTATCTACTGCATAATTCCATTTTTGGTAATACTAACGTGACTAACACTCATCTGTGAGTGATGGGATTCTGAGTGTCTTTCTTTTCCTTTTTTTAATAAAAATAAAGTATTCATTCTAAATTAGGCTTTCAAAAGCAAACCAACAGAAACTAAAGATATAAAAAAAAAACTAGGGATATAAAGCAAAGTCATTTGAATACGTTAATATTAAAAGTCTTCTGTGTTTGATGCTTTAGTTGGAATAATTCTAAATGATGAGATGGGCCGTTTAGAAGTATTTTTGCCTCTTATTCTATTTGAAAATTAAAGCTCATTTCTTGGGGGGGAAGTGCATCTTCAGCCCTGGGCCAGCCCCGCCTCCTGCCTTCTTTCTGATCAGCATTATGAAAGCTTCTGCCTGTGTACAGTGGGCTGGCTGCATCATCAGCACCAGGGCCCTGGGCTGTCGCTCTGCAGGACTGTCACTCACACTCACCTGGCCTGTGTTTTGTTAGCCAGCTCCTTTGGAGTCACCTGGTCCAGCAGCCACCGTCTTCTTGAAGTGTCTTTTCCCCTACTGCGCCCTTGGAGCAGGTTGTTTCTGAGGGTCATGACGAGGCATTTGGTATTCTCCTTTGCTGACATCTGCCGGAATGGCCACCAGTAAAAAGGAGAGTCTTATCCCACTAAACGGGTCTTTTTTCCTCATTTGGGCAAACTGGCCACCATGAAAGTTTCTGGTATTACTTCACTCACTTTTACGTCCTTAGAAAAATCGTTTTCCTTCCTTAGTACCTGAATGTCTTCCCATCCTCTCTGCTTGTCCACAAAGTGTAAGTTACCAAATTAAATACCACTCACCTTACACATTAACCCCTCTTCCTGAGTGCGGTCCATGAACGTGGAATTCTAAAGCGAGAAGGGGTACGGAACAGGGCTAAGTCCAGGGCTGCGAACATTTGGGGTGCGGATTCTCTTCAGAACTGGATGATCACTTGTGGATTTATCTCCAGAAAAATGCTCATACATTTAATTCTGTATAAAATTTCAGTGGATTCACAGACCACCTGAAGTTCACCCATCAACCCCACATTAAGAACCTTTGCCAAAAGGAACAAAAGAATGAGATGTCTTATTAAAAGATTTTCAGCCCTTGAAATCTAAAGTGTAATAACAAAGTGACCACACGGTGTCAGTCTAACATCAATAAGCCCTATTCCTCCCCAGGTTTTTAAAACAGGGAGCTGATGGGCCAATGAACCTGAGCATCTGGGTTATTTAAGTTTAGTAAAACAATGCCCACTGGGGATTCTTTGGCACACTCCAAGCATTGACTTTTGTGGACCATTCATGTTAAAGAGAGAACGAGGGAAAGCTGTCCTTGGTAGGGCTAGCTAACCAACATCCTTCACTACTGCCCTGTTGGAGGGTGATACCATCTCTATGGAGAAACTGAGTCATAGGAACCTAGTGATGAGAAAAAATGAAAATGCTCTTTGCTTAAAATTGACTATCTGATTTCTCTTTTTCCTTCAAAAGATCTGAATTCTCTTGCTGAGTATTTAGAATTTTCCTAAAGAACATTTGAAAGGCAGCTGTGAAGTCTTAGTTTTCTATTCTTTCTGTCAAAATGCAGATAGTAATCTTTCCCTTTCATTTTTCCCAAAGAAAAAATGGAATCTCAGGAAAAGACAGGTGAAAAGAGAAAAGTTTTCCCAAAAGGCACTAGTAACAGAAACCTGATTTCCTCATTTTTACCAAACCAAAGCCTTTTCTTTGAATCCGTACCCACTTCCAATGCTTCTCCCCTTTTATTCCTCAGATATTTTCTGCTATATAGCACGGGACCACTGCCTTCAGACTGAACGCTGTTTGGTCTTTTCATGTCCCAAAAGGTTTTATTAAAATCTATGATGTAGAGAAAGCATATGGATATTGAGAGATATTTAAGGTGGAGTTTGCTATTTCCTTAGTCTTAAATATTATCGGGAATGAAAGGAGCAGAATCTGTGGTCTTACTGCAGGGCAAGTTCTTTAGCTGCTGCAGCTGTCACTGATTGGATTCACAAATCGTTGGTGCGGTGGGTTAGATGTTACCTGGACGCAGCGCTCCATCTCAGGATGGACCTTCTGGGGAGACCCGCCGCGAAGCCCAGCAAAGAAGCACGCCTGGCAGAGGTCAAAGTTGAGACACTTCAGACAGCGGTATCTGCCAATAACAGCGGAAGTGTGGCTAATGTCACAACCAGCCCGTGAGCAGAGAAAATAATAGTCAGGTGCAGAATGAGTACCCCAAAACATACAGGAGACATCTAAGCTCTTAAGGAAGTGTAAAATTTCTCCCAAACTTTGTAGGGATGTTAAATGACTCTAACATGTTTAATTTATTCAAAGAAGTCTTCTTTTGGTGGTACTTTTTATGATATGGCATTATATTAACATAGTTTCACCCAACACACTATAATGTGGAAGTCTGATTCATGCCCCCACGAATATATCAAGCACATTGCCTACGCAGGGTACTGTGTACAATGAGCCTTGGGATAGACCCCTAAGTCTGTGGCCACATTTTCTGTGGTGGCACAATGCATTCAAACATTTTGAATTTAGTTGCCAACTTAAAAAATAAAATAAACTGGGAGATTTTTCAGTAAATTCTGACTTGACTTCTCTTGAAAACTGTCAAGATCTGATAATACTAGACCTGCATTATTGCATGGTATTGGGGAAAATGAAATTGTAGACAAAGAATTTGAAATAAACTTCTGTGATTTTTTAGAACTCTGTAGGAAAGAAATGCAGTGGAGGAGGGCTAGTTCTTCCAGCCAGAGTGTGGGGGAAGGACCCCCCGCATCTAAGTTTCTTAACACATCAACATTGCAGTCCTTCTCACACGAACGGTTGCATCCTTATGTCTCCGGTGGGAACAGGTGAGGAGGTTATCTTGAGACACTGTGGGAAGGAGGGGTGTCTTGTAACACTCAGGGAAAACATGGTGATACCAGATCCCTGTGCTCTTCAAATTTCATGTCTTGCTGCAGAAAGAGGATAGGGAAGCTTGCAGTACTAACTAGCAAAGTTAAGCAATACGTGATTCTGCACCAAGTATGAGGCATTGGAAGGCAAGTACTGCAGGAAGGAGAGAGGGGGAGACCCCTGTGGGCTGCTGAAAAGTTTTCATGGAGAAAGTGTGCCTTTGCGCTGGAGACCAATGAGGACGAAATCCTAGAGAGAAAGAAGAGTGAGGGAAGGAGGCTAGAACCAAGAAGGAGGATTTGGAGCACATCACATCTATCAGACCTGCTGATTATTCTAAAGAACAGAAGAATCAAAACTTGGAATGCCCCTGAGGCTGGATGGCAGAGCAAGAGAATGTTAAGGTCTGTGAGATCAACCGTCAGCTGCCCTTGTTCACTGCTGTTACCCCAACATCTAGTTCCATGGTAGGATATTAATAAATAGTATCAAATGGTTAGAACAGTAGCTAATGTTTTGGAACACTTACTAAAGGGCAGGCAATGTACATGTGTTGACGCGTGATTCATTGCCATGCAAGCCCTTTAAGGTAAGGCGTTCTTATGATTTTATCATTTTTCCAGATGAAGAAACTGAGCACCAAGTTACACAACTTCTTCGTCAGCGGTAGAAGTAGGCTTTGAGCCCAGGGATACCACCTGAATGGAGAACTAGCTATTTTAACCACTGGAATAGACCACCAGTACCCAAGGCTTGAGTTGGAATGCATACACCACCATTACTAGTGACCTTGAAGTGGGAACTTAAGCTCAGATGTTTGGAAGTTACCAAGTTAACACTGCAGGTTTTCGATGACCATTAGTTAAATGAAGTTAAATGAATGCCTTAGTTTATTTACAAGGAAAATGGGACTAGTAAACTAGAAAATTATTCAACATGCATAATTGGGAAGACAATTGCTGTTTGCAAGAAATGTGTAACACAATATTTTTTTTTTTTTT